ATGGCCTTACCATCCAGGGACTTGCCGTTCATGTCTCTGACGGCGGCCTTGGCGTCGGCGGGGCTTTCGAAGGTGACGAACGCGAAGCCCCTGGACTTGCTGGTTTCTCGATCCTTCATCAGGAGCACCTCGATGACGCGGCCATACTTGCCGAACTCGGCCTCGAGGGTTTTCTCGTCGATTTCTGGGCTGAGCCCGCCGATGAAGAGCTTCCCGGGCCGATCCGCTTCCACCATGTCGGCGGGTCGAGCGGCCAGTGGCAGTGGGAGGCGAACAGGCGGCGTCCCTCGTGGCCTTCGAGCCCGCTGGCCGAGGGCGGCTCCTACCGGTCGCCGGCGCGTCGCCGCGGAGTCCAGAACCTGGGTCTCCGCCCCGCTGCGCAGGCGGAACGCTCCGGATTGTGCCGCCTGGGGCTGGTTCCCCGGCGGCCTGTGATTGGTCGGTCGCCGAGGAGCGCGATCCCCCCCTTCCTTCCGGGGAGGGGGGCGGCTGGGCGACCTGCCTTTCGGTCTCTGGACTTCGCTTGGTTAACCTGGCTCTGGTTTAAGGTGTTTAAGGCCTTCCCTAAAGCTCTGCCGTGCAATGAAAAACGTAGGTTCAAAAATATATATATACATTTTTCCATTACTCTTAATGAGAATTGTAATGCATTACAGTGAAAGTTATCGAAACCATTTTTAAACAGAAAAAAAAAACTTCATTGAAAAATGAAATAACCAAAAATATTTTAAAGTTTTAAAATGTGGTTCGTACGTAAAATGTAATTTTTTTGCCGAAGGGGACCAGATGACAGTGGCCGGTTGGCTGGGGAACAGGAAGCAGAGGGCCTCGAGCTTTGGCGGCACGGGCGTCTCCGTCCGTCAGCCTTTAAGCGGCTCGTAGACGCGGAGCGTTGACACCGCGCCTTCAGGTAAGGGTGTCAGGCACCCAAAGTCACGTTAGGTCAAAATAAAGGCAAAACAGAGAGTGACAAACCGAGGGCTCCCCTCTTCAGTGAGGAACTCCCAGAAACAGTATTTTGGGTTCATTCAAACAAATTACGCACATTTGTTCCTTAGAGTATTCTCCCAAGTGTTCAGAAGAACTTGGTGAAGGTATCTTCGCTTGAGCCTTTAACATTAAAAAACTTTTTAAAAACTATGTTTAGTGGGACTTGAGCTGTTTTTAAAAACATAGTGTAATTTTTTCAGAGGTTGCTATGGTGAAAAGTTAATAGGCATGAGAAGTCTGTGTGTGTACATGTGTTAACTAGTTGTTGCAATAGCTCCGTAATGACGAGAGCGCTAGTGATAGGCATTTTTATGTTTCTGACTTCAACGGGGGTGCTTTTAAGGTTCTTAATATTTTTTACCATGCATGAGTGGAAGTTAAAGCCAAATGCATCACATGAGTTCATGTGATGAATTGCAGTAACAGATTTTTATTGTTAAATCATTGTATTTCTAAGGTAAACCTATATGAGATATATTCATTTTTAAATATATTGATTTTTATTGGCTCTTAGAAATTTTACATTTCTGAACGTAAAGGGTATTGGCCTATGTATGATTTTCTTTCTCATATTGAGCTGGTGGATATTTTTGCCTAAATTTCTTTTAGTTTGGAGTCTATTCCAATTTTTTAAAATTTCTTGACTTGGTTTTTGTAGGATATACTTTTCTTAGAGTTATCTATTTTTAACTTGAAATTTTAAGGATAGCTGTTTTGCTTTCTTTTTATGCTCAGTCTTGTCAGAAGTTTATTTTTTCAAAGAACCAGCCTTTTTATTTACTAATCCTGTTTTGATTTTATTTGCTGCTCTTGCCTTCCTTCTTTCCACATCCAAGTTTGTATATTTTTGTTCTGTATTTTTAGGTAAGACACAATGCATTGAATTTTTAAAAAGGTTTCTTCTAATTTTAAAATTAGAAGTCTAAGTTTAAAATGTATTCTATATGGTCTAGTTAACAGTATGTCTTGAGGTGGCATACATAGTGGGTTGGTTTTTTTCTGTTTTACTTTCACTTTATTTAGTAAATAGACAAGGCTTTGTTTTGAACTGGCTCCATTTTAATTCCCATTTTAGCCATACACAAATCCAGAAATTAGTATGTAGATTTGAAGATAAGCAACTTAGTGTGTACCACTCTAATTTTTAAAAATATCTGTTCAAATTCCTAATTGTAACAAGACTTTTCTTCAGTCCACCTAGTTTCAAGTGTACAGCCTAGTGGTTAGACATTTATATAACTTATGAAGTGATCCCCCTGATAAGTCTAGTATCCACCTGGCAGCATAGTTATTATAATATTATTGGCTATATTCCCCATAGTGTACTTTACATCCTTCTATTTTGTAACTTCCAATTTGTACTTCTTAATCCCTTCACCTTTTTCACCCACCTGCAACCCCCCACCCCTTTGGCAACCATCAGTCTGTTCCCTGTATCCATGAGTCTGTTTCTGCTTTGTCTATATTGTTCTTTAGGTTCTACATATAAGTGAAATCATATAGTAATTGTCTTTCTCTGATTTATTTCACTTAGCATAATACCCTGTAGGCCCATCCATGCTGTTGCAAATGGTAAGATTTCATTTTTTTTTTTTTATGGCCGAGTAATATTCCATTGTGTATATATACCAGAGTTTTTTTTAATCTAGTCAACTATTGATGGGCTACTTCCATATCTTGGCTATTATAAATAACACTGCAATGAACATAGGAGTGCATGTATCTTTTTGAATTAGTGTTTTGGATTTCTTTGGATAAATATCCAGAAGTGAAATTGTGGCTCAAAAGGCAGTTCCATTTTTAATTTTTTGAGGAACCTCCATGCAGTTTTCCATAGTGGATTGCACCAATTTGCAATCCCAATGACAGTGCATGAGGGTTCCCTTTTCACTATATCCTCGCCAACGCTTATTTATTGATAACCATTCTGACAGGTATGAGGAAATATCTCATTGTGGTTTTAACTTGCATTACTCTCATGATTAGTGACACTGAGCATCTTTTCATATGTCTGTATGTCCTCTTTGGAGAAATGTCTATTCAGGTACTCTGCCCATTTTTTAACTGAATTTTTTTTTTAGGTTGTATGAGTTTATAATGTCTTCAGCTAATTGTCCTCAGGTATTGCCTCCTGGTTCAGGTCTACTCTTCAACTTACTTAGCATTTTTTTTGTTGTTACACAGATTTTTGCTGTTATACAGCTTTGTTCTGCATAACTTGCTGTCATAAGGACACCACTCTGGTAATGGCTGCTCAGTGTTTTGAAGTCATCACCAAGGCCTCTGAGACTTCACATGAAAAACCTCAAAAAACTACAGATAGTATTTGCCCTTAAACGTATTGGTGAGACCTTCCTCTGTTTGAGTGCTCTTATTGCTCAAATGTGGCCTAAGGCTCCTAAGAAAAGAGAAAACCATTTCCCTCCTACATGGGACATGACATACTGGGAATGAGTCCTCCCAGCAATGAGGGACCTGCAGTGGCATAACATCCCCCAAAATGAGCCATCCTGATAATGGACAACCAGTGATGCTTTTAATAATTAATGTTGCTTTCTGGTAATTGATCAGCAATGCTTTCAAGGAAAAATCTTGATCAAAAGAGGAAAAATATGAAAATATAAATGGGGCTACTTTAAAAGGGGTAGAAGCTGCCATCCCAGAGGAACTGCCTACATGCCTTACTCCTCAAACCTTTGGAGTGTTAAAACAGGGCAAAATAACCTTTGGACTGGGCCTAAAGCAATGTTATATCCCAAAGAAATGTTTGAAAAAATAACAAGAAAGCAGATATGACTACAGGACTGATGACTACTAGACTGAAACGTAAAAACATCATTTAGAATTAGCTTATTTGCACCAAGAGAAACATCTTCCTTCTACTGATGTAATTTTTCCTTCCATTTCCCATAAATATCCCTCACTTTTGTCTCCTTAAATCACAATACTATTTGGGCTTCTGCCTGAATTTCTGCTTCCCAAATAGCTTTTTTTTTTTTTTTTTTAATGTCAAATAAATGCTTGTTGCCTTTCACTTTGACCTTTTATTTTCAGATTAACACCTTTATGGTGGATATATAAACCCTTGTTCCTCAAATAATTTTTAAACCAGCATCTCACTGGTCGCCTTACTAAGACTAGCTAGAGGGGACCCAACCCAACTTAGCCTTCCAGCCATCCTCTCCAAGGCACTAGGCATGTGACTCAAGTCATCTTGGGGCTTCCAGCACAACCTGGCTGTCAGCTGAACTGATAGGGGATGCTCATGTGGAGCATGAAGAAATGCTTAGCTGAGCCATTTCTGAATTCTAACCCACCAAGTCATGACATAATGAAGCAGTTTGAAGCCATAAGCTTTGGGATTGATTGTTACATAGCAATACATTGCCCAAACATTCTTTTACAGAAAATTTTACATGTTTCTATCAAAAGGAGGAACTTTTTTGCTCTAACCCCAATAATCTTTCTGTCTCCTTATATCTTCACAATAGGCTACAGAAAATGTTCACTGCAAAGGACTCCCATTTCTATTGAGACTAACAATTCTCAAATACTAATGTACCGAAGATTTGCCTGGGAAATATTTAAAATGACAGTTCCTAGGGTCCTCACCCAGATATTCTGATTGAGTAAGTCTAATATGGGGCTCAGGAATCTACATTTTAAGAAACATCCAAGTGATTCTGACACGAGTGGTCCCAAGAACACACACAGAAAAGCATTAAATGAAATGTAGCAGAGACAGTGAGGCTATGAACTGAGCATGGCTGTGGGGATGGAGAGAGGAAACAAGGTGCTCTTCCCCGGCCCCATCCTCTAGACTTGTTTCTAGGCTTCTCACATCTGGATTCTTAAGCTCTACATCCAATTAAAATCATCATAGTACAGTTTTCACAGGGCTTTATGCTTTTCATTTTATTTTAGCTTCTCAAACTCCTATGTGAAGTAGAACAGACATTTGCCAGAGAAGTGATTAACCTATACCTAACATCAAATGCCATATGTCTGGGCACAGAGTCTCTAAAGCTGAGAGCCCCAGGCCTTGTCACTCTGAGGTCTTTCTTTTACATTTTCAAAGAATGTCAAGTTCTTCACATCAGAAACACTGCCACCAGGAACCATCTTCTTCGTTCTGATCATTACAATCATGCTTAATGAGTAGGTGTGGATTGCAAACTCCCACAGCTTCCAGCAGCTTCTGGGCTTCCTCATCAAATGCCTCTTTCCACAACCTGAGAAAACAAGGGGACATCTCTTTTTGCACTCAATTTCCCCACAGCCCTTTATTTTCTCAGAAAATTTATGTCAATGGCCGGGGGGGGGGGCACGGGACGGCTATTCTTTTAAAGTAGAGAGAGAATATTAACATGGCTGAGGTGTAGAAAAGGAAACGGATATGCTGAAGGGGATACTGCAGTTGAAGGAAAATGGAATATAGAAGAGAAAGAGAGAACTAGATTAAAATTTAAAAGGATCCTCCGATAGCCTTTTTTTACTTAAGCAAAATAGTAATACTGATGATGATGAAAACAGCTAACACATACACTGTTTATTGTATGTTAGGCACTGTTTTAAAGACCACCTCTATTGACTCCGGTGATCAATCCTTATAATAAGCCTATGCATAAATATTATCATTTCACCCCTTTTACAGATAAGGTAACGAAAACACAGAGATTGGGGACTAGCACAGGTTCAAATATCTAGTAAGTGGCAATAAACTCAGGTAGCCTGGCTCTAGAGTTCATGGCTCTTAACCACTATGCTACTTTATGTCTCTCAAAATTTACTGTTCTATGAGAGAAAAACAAATAAAGGCCTAGAAAATACCCAAGAACCCACAATCAGGTTGATCCTGAGGCTTGCAATAAATGAGTCCCTCCCCCAGTTTCTTATTTCAGAAAATTTTCTTCCTAAGAAGCCAATGAAGACTTACCCTAGAACTTGTAGTTTACATTCAGGAGACCTCAAGACTTCACATAACTTTGCAATTCCTTCACAACCTAAGGTATTCTGTGTCAGGTTTATTTTTATCAGTCTTTGGTTGCTGCTAAGAGTAAAGGAGAGATCCTGACAACAGAGAGAGGTCAAACCACAGTATTCCAGCCTGCAGGGAAGAGAGACTGCAGATAAAATTAACTTTATCCCATGACAGACGGCAAGCACACAAGAGATCTGGGAATATAGGATACTCTAGAAGCTTAAAAAAAATGAGCACAATTAGGGGAAATTCAAGGAATATAAGTACTTATAATATTTATTATTTTAGATATTTATAGGCTGAACATATCGTTTCCAATATCATGAATTATGAATTCATAATTATGGTCCAGGGTATAAAGCAGTTGTATCCTTGAACAGCATTAAAATTATAACATATTAAAATTATAACATAACTAGATCTTAGAAATACGGCATTGTTTAAAAGTCAAGGTACATAATGAGATCCCTAGCACCATGCCATTTATGCAAATAAAAATGCATGCACCAAAAAACTTCATCACATCTTTTACAAGGATACACACAATTCTATGGCAAATTTCAAACATATTAGGTCAGTTGCGTACAGGTGGAAAGGAGGATGGTTAGTGGAGATACATTAACCAACTAACCAAACAACGATCAATGGGCCCTTGCGTAAGCCAAAGATGATACAATACCATGGACTAAGGGAATATGTTAAAATCAATCTTCTGTACCTGATGATTCCCCCAGCCAACTCATTTAAATCTAATTTTCACCTTAATGTTTATGTAGTCATTCAACAACTGAGTGCCTATATAGAAACTGAGTATACAAAATATTTTTTTAAGTGGCTGCCACATGGAACACACATTAACAGAGTGGAACAATAGTCCCGCCACTGATAATGACACAAAGTACACAAATATCACACAAAATAAATCTTATGGTAAAAAGTATAAGACATAAAAGATTATCAAGAATTTATCAGGAAACAATCATTCTAAGTTTGTAATCACTAATAACAGTCAAAAAATCTGCGGTACATTTACACAATGGAATACTACGCAGCCGTAAAACAGAAGAAAATCTTACCTTCTGAGACAGCATGGATGGGCTGGAGAGCATTATGCTAAATGAAATAAGCCAGTCAGAGAAAGACAAGTACCACATGATTTCACTTATACGTGGAATCTAATGAGCAAAATAAACTAACAACAGAATAGAAACAGGCACAGATACATGAAACAGACTGACAGCTGGCAAAGGGGAGGGGGTTGGGGGGCTGAAGGAAAGAAGGTGAAGAGATTAGCCAAAAAACATGCATAACACACAGGCACAGACAACCGTGTGGTGACAGCCAGAGGGAAAGGACAGTGGGGGTAGGTGGAGGTGGGCAAAGTGCGGGGGTGGGAGGAATGGGGACAGAAAGAAACTTTGCTGGGTGATGGGCACACGATGCAGTGTGCCAATGATGTTTTATTGAGTTGAACACTTGAAATCTGTAGTTTTGTGAACCAACGTCACCCCAATAAATTCAATGAAAAAATACAGAAAACAAAAACTAACAACTACAAAATGAAAAATAAATCTGCAATTATAAGGGTGATTTTTAATATTTTTCACAGTAATTGAATTATCTGGGGGAAAAACACTACAAATATAGATGATCTGAATAGCAGGAGTAACAATCGTAACTGATATGAATTACTGCAACCAATGGCTCTTCATAGTACACTATGGAGCGCATATGAGAACTGACTATATACTAGGCCATGAAGCAAATGTCATATTTCAAAGAACTGAAACCATGTATGTTCTCAGACTGTAATGCCAGAGAGTAAGTATAAAAAGATAACAAGAAACTGCTCTTCTGTCTGAAAATCAAGGAATATACTTTAAGATAATCCATTGGTTGAAGAAAAAAATCATAAGGGCAGTTAAATATTTCAGACTAAAAAATAATGACAACACTTCACATAACAGCAAAAGGTGGAGGATGAAGTTAATACAATGATTTAAAGGAAAATTGTAACCTTGAGTCTGTGTTGGAAAAGAAGAAATATTTATGAGCTAAGCGTCCAATTCAGGAATTTAGAAAAAGAATGGTGAAATAAACTCAACCAAAGTTGAAGAAATAAAAGAAGCAATAATTAATGAAACAGCACTAGATATCTAAATCACTAGAGATGGTTCAGAAATTAAGCAGATAATAATATTAGACACTTGGCAATAAGTTTTATGTTTTAGATGAGTAGACAAAAGCACAGGAATACTATTACCAAGATTATTCAATAAGAGAAAACCCACATAAATGTATAATTATTTAAAAAATTGAATCAAAAGTCAAAAGAGTCACCACACAAAGGAAGCTTCAGATCATATAGCTTCACCAGAAATTTCTACAAAGCTCAAAAAAGAAAGAATTCCAATCTTGCACAATCATATGCCAAAACACACAGCTGACCGGCTAAAATTTAAAGATTAAGCCTGACAAAGCTGGCAAGAAGAGGGAGCAATAGGAACTCACACACTGGCAGTGGCAGAATGAATTGGTGGAATCCTTTTGACGTCTGATACATTTGAAGACCTATATTCCCCCATAATATAAGTCCATTCCTCATTATTTACTCGAGATAAATGTGTATGTAGCATTTATGTATTAAAATATGTATAGCATAGCCCTAGCTGGGTTTGCTCAATGGTTAGAGCGTCAGCCCGTGGACTGAAGGGTCCCGGGTTCGAGTCTGACCAAGGGCAGGTACCTCAGTTGCAGGCTCGATCCCCAGCCCGGTCAGGGAAGGTGCATGAAGGAACCAATCGATATGCCTCTCTCACATCAATGTTTCTTTCTCTCTCTGTCTCTGTCTCTGTCTCTCCCTCCTTCCCTCTGCCCCCACCCCTCCCACTCTCACTGAAAAGCAATGGAAAAAATATCCTCAAGTAAGGATTAAAAAAATAATAATAAAATATTTATAGCATCACTAAGTCATAAAATAAAAGAAATGAAAACAGCCCACAAGTTCACCTGAAATTAATGGTTATTCTAGTTTCTTGTGTGGTCATTCATTGAGATCTTTTATAGTAATAAAAGTGAATTAACTACAGCTACATGAAGCAACTGAATGACTCTTACAATCAATATTAAGCAAAAACCCCTCCAAAACAAAAACCATGAACACAGAAGAATACATAAAGTCTGATTCCATAAGTTCAAAATCAGGCAAAATTTAAATACACTCATGGTTCACTGTACAGGAAAACAAATGAATGACTGCCATAAAGTCAGGATAATGGCTGCTTCTTGGGGAGAAGGGAAAAAGTTGTGGTTTCGAAGGAATGACCAAGGGGAATTCAGTTAGCCGGGAAAATTCAATTTCCTGACCTGGGTGCGGTTACATACATTTTTTTATTTTAAAAATATTAGTTTTATTCACTTTTCCGTATTTTATAGTTCATAATGAAAATGTTTAAGATATGATTTGGCAGAGCTTAAAAATAACAGAAGAGAAAATTTAAAATTATAGGATGAAAGTCACATTAGAAGTAGACAAGTGTATTTTCACAGCTGCCGAATGACTTGAATGACTGCTTGGCTGTGTTCATAGTATTTTGGTCATCCTTCCTCTGAGAGTTTTCCAGAGAGTCCACTGCCGACTAGCATTGAAACTAATTGTAGAAAAGTCTGAAAACAGCGGATTCTTCCCCTTCAGTGTCCTTATTTGTTAAAAATACTTTTATTTAGGCCTGGATGTCTGTAGGTCCAACAAATTGTCCTGTGTTGACTTTTATTATTAATATTTTTCTGGGGAAATGGTATGCCCTTTTAATCTGTAGATTGTGCTCTTTTGGGGAGTAGGGCTTCCTATCTTTAATTTTTGCTTATCTATTTGTCCAGTATTTTTTTTCCAGGATCTTTAATTATGCTTATTGTGGATCTCTTTTGTCGGTCTTCCTTATTTGTAACTGTCTTTAATCTTTTAAAACTCATTCTTCTTTTGCTTGATGTTTTTCTAATCCACCCTACATATTTCCTAAGTGTATTTTCAGCAGTTGTGAATGGCCAATGGAGTGGCACGTCCTTGTGAAAATATACCAGAAGCCAAGATTGTATTGTGTAGAAAAAAGGAATGGGTATTGTTGGGAGGCATTCTTTTGCCCTCCTACATGTTTTCTGACAAAAATGCAAGCCCCTGCCAACTCTTTACCTGGGCCGTTTCCTTGGATACATGTGCAATGAGCAACCGTGAGGGATGAGGTCATGTCTGCCCTTTCATGACAAAGAGCAGGCTTGCTCCCTGCTCGCTATAAAACGATGAGTCCCCGAACTCAATGTTCCTCTCTTGGGATGCAACCTACTGCATGTGCACCTATCAGAGCCCTCCACAGCAACCCTGTGGGACTTAGGACACAAGGGAAACTGACACAAACATGCCTCATGCTTGTATGGCTGTGCTGCAATAAAGTCCTCTGTCGCTGATAGGCTTCTATGTCTCCTGCCTGCATCCATGAGACAGAAAGAGGCTAACTTATTAGGTGGTAAGTAGGATTAAATTTCAGACCCAACAGTTACATCATCATAATTGCTGTGATAAAAACATATAAACAGTCAATGGAAACATGGGAAAATGCAACACTTTCTTGGAAGATTCAGGGAGACATATCATAGTGTCTGAGGTTCCCACATGTAAAGCAAAATTTTTGACCTAGAAGTCAATAATTCATGCTGTATGAGTAAAAATGTACTCTCCAATATTAGTTCAACTTTTTAAAAAGAAAATAAAAATCTAAACAATATCTGATTGAACATAAGTATTCAGAACATAGGATAAGATTTTATTAGGTTGCAAGCTCCTTGAGAGCATTTTTCTAGATAGATGATTAATAAAATATCTGATTTAATAAGAATAATTAGTGCAAGGCCAGATGGGATATCTGAGGGATGACAGAATGCGGAAGACCTAAATTAAGTACCCTTTACTTAATACATACCCTATCCAAGGTACTGAGAAATGTGAAATACAGTGCCCATACTAACAATATACAGTACACATTGATCCATATATTTGAAATTCAGATTCTCATTTCTGAGAGTAACTTACCTTCTAACCCCATTCATTTTCCATCCTCTCTCCATATACTAAATTTCTTCTAGCTATACTAGCCACCAAATAGCTATCATTTTCCTAATGGAAAATGGAACTCACCCAAGCCTCTGAATATTACAGTTTGGATGTCTCAAAGCTTCACACAGAGTTTTGACTCCATCATCCTGCAAGTCATTGTTCCCGAGGTCCAGGCTCCGCAGATTTGGGTTGTTCAGAATAGCAGAAGCCAGATCCAGACAACAGGCACTGGTGAGAACACAACCCATCAGTCTGTAAGAAATACAAAAGAAAACTGAGACCTTTGGCTGTGAGGCTTACTTAGTTTATTCCTGGGAGAGATTCCCATGTATCTGAGCTTATCCTGACCCTGTTCTACCTATAATCCAGGATGTACAACGGAAGGTCTAACATTGCCAGTAGAAACAGGTGGATTTCTTAGTAAGCAGAAAGCAACAGTGGGTAAACTGCTTTCTCCCACAAACAAGTCGTTACCTATCAAGACTCCCAAATCAAGGCTATAAACACTTACTCCTACCAATACTAAAAAAAATATTGTAAGCTTTCCCAAGGAAGCCACCAATGTCTACACTTTCAGTTTCCAATATATTATTGATATAAAAATGCTTTCCAGGAATCTATCTCAAAGCGTTATCTCCAAAAAATCAAGAAGGCACATATAAGAAGATATTTCTTTCATGTCTTTTGTAGGACATTCAAGAGCACTTAAAATCTGGCCTCAAGCATTCCCTTTCTCTTTTGTCCCCATTCTATCCTCCAACCACACAATCTATTGTTTTCCAGATATACCACTTCCATCCCCATTCTCCTTCTTTTCTCTCTTCTTTCCTTCTGCCTGGGTTATCTCCACAGAACAAAATCCTCTACATCTTTCAAGCCTAACGTGACTCGGTCTCCTCCGTTCCTCTCCTTGCTCCTTGAAACTCTCGCTATACCCTTATAACAAAATATGCAATAGGTTAGACTCAGCATTTATTTCCCTACTCTCAGCATTTTGTGAGTTACTTGAGGACAAGAGCACCGCCTCAGTAATAACCTTTAGTCCCCTCAGCATCTAGCTCATATTTGTTGTAAACTCTGGTTGAGAGAATTCGCATAGCCTCCAGAGACTGTGGAGGTAGCTAAGAAAGCACCAGCAATGCTCAGGAGAGAAACTGGGCTAAGCAAATATCCTGTGTGTACCCGTCGCTTAGAAATTATATCTCTGTAGCTGAAATGAAGGCATTGGATTTAATGATAATTTCCATTAAGCAAAATTTTATCTTCCAATTGGAATAATCATCAAGGAAACTCCAGAGAATCACATTGTAATCCATATAATATACATTTTCCTAAAGGAGGTATATGTGCTTGTTGGACCCAAGAGTTCAATCACTTCAATGTTTACAGATGTGACAACTGACTATTAAACTTGTTTGGAAATTTGGTTATCATGAGTCAGTCCAGTCAAGCCAAACACCTCTGGGTACACCACCAATCTTGAATTTATAGTTCTAAATTAACAACGCTGGGATTAGACCCTTCATGACTCATCCAGACTACTAGTCAGTCCCAAGGGAGGCCCTAGTGGGAAAGTAAACTGAGACTGCTAGGTGACACCTATATCTTGCTTCACTCTAGCCACAGTATTTATATAATGAAATGTTAAATACTGTGCCACCATTAAAGTAAGATAATTGTATGTAACTATTGGAATATGTTTCTGAAATACTATCACACGAAAAGGAAGCTTCAGTCACATCTACACAGTAATCACAATTACACATACACATGTCATGTACAGGTATGTGTACCTATTCACAGAGTAAAAGAGAACCACGTAAGGATAAACATGGTTGCTGTTAAGGAATGACTGGATTGTTGGATAGTTTTAAGAATTCCCTTCGCAGTTTTTTTTAAAAGTTGGCCCAATTATAAAACCAAATTTAAGAAAGAAAAACTGGTGGAGCATAACTTAAGCTTCATGGATGTAGGGTAAAGGACATAGTAGAGTTACTGGGGCACAACCAAGGGAAAAATAAAGAGGCTACTGTTCAGCCTGATGGCTCTGGTCCGCCTTACCTGAGGCAAGTTGACTGTAATTACTGTATTAATCGTTTATAAAAATAGGAGGAACACACTGCCCCAGTCTTGGGCAGAATGGGAGAAAGGGAATCAGCCATATATCCTAGATACTCTGCTCTCAGCCTCTCTTTCCATACCTCCCCTACAGTAGATAAAGCTACACAAAACTAAGGTCAAAGAAGACCTACTCCAGGTCCTGAAGATTACAGCTTGGATGCCGAAAGACATCACACAGAAGCTTTACTCCATCATCTTGTAGCCAGTTTGACCCCAGATCCAGATGTGTCAGGCTCTTGTTGCTTAGCAGGGAAGATGACAGATGTTCACTGCTAACTGAAGTGAAATGGCATCGTCGCAGCCTACACAGGAAGGACAATGTGAGGAAAAATGGAATCACTGCTCCACTGCCAGAGATTTATATCTTTGAAAAGATTTCATGCTATGGTCCCCGTCTACATCTCAGGTCAAATAGCCTCTTCCCTCATTGCCTCTTCGGCTGTCTTACTTGGGAAACAAAAGTTTGCACCAAATTCAGCTACAAACTGGATTCATGCTCTTCAGAATTTTTATTACTATAAATAAAATTTTAATCTTATTACATTGCATATAAATATAGTACCCTCTTGCAGAAGTAGCCACATGGCCCAGAGGAGCAGGCATATGGAGTAGAATGGGAGCGATCACAATAAATAAGTACTTTCTGTACATAATAAAAGTGGCATTTCCAATCAGTAGGGAGAAGATATATTACACTATAAATGATTTGGGGACAACAGATCTGATGGGAAAATAAGTTTAAGCCTTATAACAAATTTAATTTGGAATACTTTAACATTTAAATGTTAAAAATTAAACCATAAAGAGTATGAAAAAGATGACACAAGTGGATTTTTTAAAAAGAAAGGTATTCCCTATTATGACAAACTTCTAGAAATCATGAGGGGGAAGGTAACTAAACCTCGCAAAAATTTTATATTCTAAAAATGATCATAAAGAAAATTAGAAATACAGCAACATGCTAGGTAAATTATTTACAATACATAAAATATGATTGTAATAGTTTATTTGAGATATTAGTAACCATAATATATAACATAAAGAAAGCATCCAGAAGAAAACTGAGCCTATGAAGAGACAATTCCTAGAATACATTAGAGAAGATGCTCAACATCAAGTCCTTTTTAAAGTTATTTTCAATGATCTAATTAACATTGATCAGAAGGACTGCAGATACCCAGTGAGGATATAAAAATTGAGCTTCGGGTAAGTTGCATAATCTTTCTAAGCCTTACATTCCTCACCTGTACAATGAGGCACTCGGAACTCAGGTTGCCAATTTGATACCAACAGGTAATTTTGTGCAGGTTAAAAAAAAATTAGCACAAGGCCCAGCACACGGTAAGGACACAAGAAATGGCAGCTATTAATATCATCATCCTCATCTGCTTCATTATCATTCAAGTCAACAGTAGGGAGACAGCAAGGGACAGAATGTGTTCATATTATCTTCCTTTAGAAGGCTAAAAACTAGCATTCACTTACACAAGGCTCTGTAGAGTGCACTGCGGATGTTTCAAGACATCACTCATTAACTTCACTCCATCGTCTCCCAAGATGTTGTCCGCCAAGCACAAATGTGTCAGCCTCTTGTTGCTGATGAGGGCCAAAGAGAGATCCTCGCAACCAGCTACTGTGAGGCCACAGCTTTCTAAGCTGAAGGAGAAACACAGATGGGAAGGGATAGTCAAATCCCAAAGTTCATGCTTCTCCTTCACAAGGAAGTTAGCTGGTATTTACGACTCCTACATCTCAACTACAGACTCAACCTCATCAAAGCTACTTAAATTACGGATTCCATTCCAGCTGTGTACAGGGTGCAATGAAACAAAAAACAGGAGGGGAGAGGAGAAGCCTGGGAAAAAAATAAAATAAAAAGGTCAGTCATGAAGAGAAGAAGTGTCTAAAATAGTCAAATAAAAGAGGAGGGGCAGTGGGGGGAGAAAAGGAGGAGCTCACCCACGACTGATAAGTGAGCCATTTGGTATCAAGGCCCAGGCAGTCTGCCCATTCACATCACAACTAAGCTATATAAGACTGAACAAAATGACACTACAGTAAACAAAGCAAAAAGACTCACGACAGTCTCTCTAGGTAACACTTTGGATGTCTTAAGGCCTCACACAACAGCTTCACTCCGTCATCCAATAGATTATTAGTTGACAGATTCAGAAATACCAGGTTCTGGCTTCTGACAAGAGTCTTGGAGATGTTCAGACAACAAAGTGTAGTTAGGTCACAGGATTCCAAGCTGGAAAACAATACAGAAAAATAGAAATGACCCCTCCTCAGAGAAGAATTATAACACCCCCTCAGCCAGCCAGAGCATCCGGTCACATGAATCTATTGGGGTCTTTGGGACCTTTTTTGAGAATCCAGCTAACCTACATAGAATAAGAGTTTAATTCAATCACAAGGCTCTGACAGTGTTAGGAAGGGGAGGGTGGGAAGCCTGTCTTTTCCATTCCCATGTCTCCAATTGCCTTTGAAAATACGTATGAAAACATTCAAAAATATTTTTAAATGATCATCATTTTTTAATCCGGGAGGAATGTCCTTAGCTACAACATGGATGAAGGTGGACTGAAGGAGGGCTGCATCCTTATACTCTGATTTCTGAAACAGATGGGCAGGAAATCAGGAGCAAAAGCTGTGACTCCCACTACTGTCTTCCAAGAGCTCATTTACAAGTGGGAACCCACGCTTTCTGAGGAATCCAGTCCTTAAGAGTGAAAACAAGTAAATCAGAAGTAAGTTTCTAAAAATAATGTAAAAGAAGCAGGAGGAAAGAAGTGCATGTAGAGCCCTTACTTTTAGTGACTCTCATTTAGAGGTCACCTGTCTTGGGGCGTGGCTGGGCCTGATTCCAGCCAGCTATTTGTAAGAAGAGTCTGGTGGCAGCAGTGCTCCTGGAACGTGGAGTTGTTTTTGTTATTTTAGGCAAGGACTTATTAACTCGAGTCCCTTGGGAATTGGTTCTCTTCATCAAAATCAGGGCCTACGGAGTTAGGAACAGGCTTAGACCTCAATGGATGACCTAGAACATGGTTTAAGGCTGAAAAACCTCACCTTGGCCTGAGAAGTGCTATGGACTGAGAAATGCGCCCCAAAATTCATATGTTGAAGCCCTAATTCCCAATGTGACTGTATTTGGAGACAGGGCCTTTAAAGAGGTAATTAGGTTATTTGAGTGAATCAAGAGTGAACCCTTCACCCAGTAGGACTGGTGTTTCACAGGAAGAGAATACACTAGGAATGTGCAAACACACCAATGGCCATGCGAGGACAGTGAGAGGGCAGCCGTCTGCAAGCCAGGGAGAGAAGCCTCGCCAGAAACCAATGCTGCCAGCGCCCTGATTTTGAACTTCTAGCCTCCACAACTGTGAGAAATAAATTTCTGTTCTTTAAGCTACCTACTCTGACTTACCTCAGATTCTGTAGTCTACAGTCTGGGTGTCTCAAGGCTTCACATAAGGACTTCACTCCACTGTCCCCTATATCACTTCCTTTCAGGTCGAGATGCAGCAGATTCTGGTTGTGAGTCAAACAACTAGCGATATTCTGACAACCATCAGGGAAAGAAAGAAATCTCAACCTTCAGGAGAAAAATATGCAGGAAGGATCACAAAATCATCTCTTTTGTCTTTTCAAACCAAAATCTTAGATATTATCTAAATATTCCTGCCATCTCTTATCCTACTCTGGGTTTCTCGTATTCCAGGTCAGGTCATAAATCCAAGTTTCAGATGTTGCTTAGAAAAACAACTGGGTTACAAGTTAGGTGTCCATGATATCCTGACAACTGATACTCTCAACTTTTTTTCACCTTGAAAGAAAAGAAGGTAATAACATCAGAAAAAGCACAAGAGGAGTTTTTGAACTCTTAACCCCAGGAATAACTATTAATAATTATTGGGACTATTCTAAATACTGCAATTACAACATTAATTCATGGCATTTAATCCTTTAAATAATCTGAGGTGAGTTCACCGTTAGTATCAACTGTTTAATGTGCATCATTAGCAAAACATTATTGCAAAATATGCCCTACCATCTCACAGGCAGCCCAAAGCAAAACATGGAGGGAGTTAAATCGCCTATTTTGCTTCTGATTTCCTATCTCCTAACTCACTGTTGCTGTATCTAGTTCTGTAATGCCTCTGTGAGCCCCAAATGCCCAGCACGTTCACACTGCTCGCTAACTGTTCAAAACCTCCCTTCGTCCCTTTTGCCCACTACTTACCCTTCACCTTCACACCCCTTCCAGCCAAGCACAAGAAAGCAAAGCTTTTACCATTTTAAGCACTAACCATCACCATCTAATGAAAGTGCCTAATGCACTCACTAAATATAAGATTAAAAGTACAGCCTCCCTTGTTAGGGAAATGGAACTTGAGTAAGTAAAGCCACACCAAGGTGGGAAAGGCTAGGAGCTGCCTTCAGGGTGTCACCCCCCCCCCCC